TGTGAAGCAATGGGGTCCACCTCCTTCAAGTCCCAAAATGTGCATATATCCTTCACAGAAGTAATCCATCCGGCTCCAGGGGGATAAACGAAGGCCTTATGAGGGTAATCCGTGCAGTTTTGTCGTAAAAATATACATATTTAAAACTTTATAAATGAAAATATCTGACTTCCGGCAACGATCGACGCACGTTCACGGGTGATGTTTTGCTCTGCTCTCTGGCTGCGCGGGCGCGTTCGTTCTACGTCACGACGCTACGTCCTACCTCGTACGCCGACTTCCATCACCCGTGGACGCGCGTCGATCGTTGCCGGAAGTCAGATATTTTCATTTATAAAGTTTTAAATATGTATATTTTTACGACAAAACCGCACGGATTACCCTCATAAGGCCTTCGTTTATCCCCCTGGAGCCGGATGGATTACTTCTGTGAAGGATATATGCACATTTTGGGACTTGAAGGAGGTGGACCCCATTGCTTCACATTATATCCACTGAAGGGTCTAAGACATTTTCTAAAATAACTGAAAATGTGTTCGTCTGAAACAAGATTGACATATGCATCTCGAACGGCTTGAGGGTGAGTAATGCATGGTTTAAATATCATTTTTGGCCGAACTATCCCTTTAACCAATGTTAACACATACAACCTTCGATTTTAATATGTATTATTTGTAAATGTTGAAATTAATATTAACTAAGATTAATACATGCTGTAGAAATATAGTTTATTCTTAGTTCATGTTAACTAAGGTAGTTAACTAATGAACCTTATTGTAAAGTGTTACCCTAATCATTAAGGACAACTTGACATTGTCAAGTTTTTTTTTTGGTATGCAAATATGAACTTTGTTCGTTTCAGTAACCTTTGTGTTTGTCTCTTTTTTTTTCTCAGAGAAAGGAGGCTCAGGCCCCTCTCGGCTCAGCGGCAGCAGCAGTTCCTCAGACTCGGGCAGCAGCAGCTCCAGTGGCTCCACTTCAGACAGCAGTGACTCCGACTGAACACTTTTTATTTACTTTTTTATTTTAAAAAAAACATTGTATGCAGTCAAGGTTATTTCTCCTCTGAGACTTTTTATAAGAAAAGAGACAATAAAATTGCATCATGTCAGAACATTTTTTCTTTTGGAAATGTCATGCAGAAAATTACAGAAAAAAAGCAAACTAATAAATTGCTTTTTATTTCCACTGACTCTGAAAGGGATGTCCAAATGTCAATCTTCAACGAGAGGAAGTCTTGAAGCATACTTTACAGTTCCAGTTCTCTTCTTTGGCGTCCTCGTAATGTTGTATGTTGCCATTGCAAACTTAAGCCATCCCATCTCACCAGAGAGTGCGGAAAACAGAAAGCTCACATTCTTCTCTCCTGAGTTCACTTTTGCACCAGTCTGTTGTATTTATTGGTGTTTTTTTGTTTTTGTTTTTTGCTGTGGCCTCATATTTTCCCCATTGGGCGCTGTGCCATTATTGATTTATTTTTTTATTATTTGTTCCTTGTGTTATTGTCCTCTCATAAACTAAAAAGTGTCTGAAATCACGCCTTTCCCAATAGTCACGAATCTTTTAAATGGTATGGGGAACAAATTGCTTTAATTAGCATAACAAGCTCTTTAAAGTTAATTTGGCCATTATTATAGCTGTAGAACAATTATACAACAATCTCATACTCTCCAGCTAATATATGTATGGTAGAGGAAAATATTTTCATGGGAATCAAGTAGATTTGATGGTTTTCTTCAGATGCTTTGCAATGACGTGAACATATAAAAAAATATCAGTCAGCTGGATCACATGCGGACTTCCTGTTTTATTAAACGTCTTGGTCAGCAATAAATATACAGAGTTCCAAATAGTTTCACCTCTGACTGGCATTTGTACATCAGATAACTTTGAATGAGGCTGGGTGTGTTGGTTATGTGGATACTGACACCTGGAAGCAGTAAATGTTATCTGTATCTTGATCTTTACTGCCATATTGTTATAAATCAAATGACGATGCATTTCTTACTGTTTTGACAATGATAGTTAAATCACAGAGTCTTCCTCTTCTCATGCTCTTGCAAAATTGATTCATGAATGTAAGTCTACAGTAGATCGTATAAATAGTACACAGTTCCAATCATTTGGGTTTTGAATGAGTTAGTTTCCCTTAGAAGTTTTCTAGCCATTCCTCATGTGGATTGCTTTTCTATCCAACAATGCGTTTGATTATTTTCGGATGTGTTTGTAAGATATTGTAATGTCCTCTCTGACTTTTTTTTTTTTTTTTTAAACAGTTGAAAGTATTGTAAAGGGATCTGGTGTTTTTCATTTTCTGATACATTTGGTTTATGGGCAGCTGTTAAGAAGTCTTTTTAACCCGTTGCAAAATCCCTTAATTTTATAATAATTTTGACAAAGCCAAGATTCATGAGGGACATGTATCTTTCAGACTAATTAAAACACTAATAGATATAGCCAAATCAGTTGTTTTTAAATTGTAATCATGGTACTCATGGTTTCGTTGTTGTCTCTTGTTTGGGTGCGCACGACTGCAACACTTCCCTAAATCACTTTTGAGTGTCTGATACAAAGTCCTATCCAGTTTCTTTTAATGTTTTCTTTTAGATACAGACTGAAAAGAAAAAAATATATGACTATATAGATAAAAAAAATTATATATATTCACAAACTAATTTCATTTTAGGCCCTGTTTTGAAAAGAAAGTTTTTTTATATTTAAAACAAGAAGTTTGCTTTTTATCTTTGACATGCATGCTGATTTATTGTATTTTTCTTATACATATTTTTGAGCTGTTTATAGTTATACTTATGTAAATGTCAGTCAACAAATTCAAGAATACAGTGTGAGTAGATATAGGCTTGTTTATTGCGATACGGGCCAGAGGTTTGAGATGTTGGGTTGGAGGCAGTAGTAGAAGCTAACATTTGATGTAATTGGAATGTCTTGTACACCGGGTAAAATTTTTTTCCATAAAATAAATGACAAAATGCTTTTATTTTGTGTTTACTTTCAATTTTTGCTCATTTGTTTTTTTTTGTGGACATGCCTTTTTGCAGTTTTGACAGTACGTTACCCTAAAAAAAACTTTATGAACTATGATATGAATAATTTAAGTTATCATAATTTGATTAGTTCTAAGAATTGGTAAAACTAGTAATCTTTTTCACCGTTTGAGGACAGGACCACTGAAGTACCGCCTCTGACCACTAGATGGAAATGGTGTTTCATTTCTCCTGGAGTTGCTTTTGTCTGGTATGGTTACAAGAGGATTATTGTAATTTTTACATATCATGCTAACAGAAGTTTTATAATAATAGAAGAAAGTATTGGGGTGAAACAGGAGTGACACTGGCCCAATCATTTATTCAGTTACACACGCATACCATGCATTATCGGGGTTTTGGTCACTTTCTGAGGGGAGGAACATGTGACCTTGGCTTGTTGCTGCAGTGTTTAGACCATGGTGCCCACTAACACAATGCTGCAGAGACCAAGATGGATCAATGCTTTGAGTATTGTGACAGCTACTCACATCTGACTCAAAAAGCCATATTTCATCATGAATGTGCTTTAATTTTCGATTTTTCCTATTGGACCCAGGGTAAAATAGTCACACTACAGAAAGTTTCCATTTAGACAACAAGCAAAACATACATGTCTCATCTATGTAAATACTTTCACTGAGGTGAATCGAAGGGCCCTATAAAAATGGAGTGAGACTTTATTTACTATGTTGATACTGTATTTTAAGGAATAAAAAGTGGAAATGTATTTGGTACATCATGTACTATATAAATTACTTGGCACACATATTAAGCTGATCAAGACTACATTTCATTGAAGTCTCCCAGGGAATTCTAAATACTTAAACCTGTCCATTGACAAAGTAACACGGATTGCAAAGTAATATATATCTATATCTATATCTATATATCTATATATATATTAATCAAAATAACAATTAAGATAATTTAATGTATTTGATTATAATTTTAAATAGTTTTGGCTTTAAGATAATCTACAAGAATGTTAATAATATAATTTAAACTCAAATCAACATTTCAAGTGAATAACAGTCAGCCAGCAATAAAAAAAAGTTGATTCAAGATGCTGCTCGTGGTGTATTTTGTGACAATGGCAAGCTAAATATACATTTTTTACATGCTCGTATTTATTGTGATGTCTCCAGAACTTCCTAGATAATAAAAAAGAGGCTAATAATTTAGTGAGACCGACCCTTTCCTCCTCCTCACACGTGGACGAGCGCGACCGGAACCCAGATGCGATCTCACCACCGCGCGCCCTTTCTCCTGCTGCTGCGCGCGCTCACGCGCTCACACTTCACGCGAGCGGAGAAATCAAAACACTCCAACCATCTACACTGAGATGAACTGAGAAACCATCGAAAAACCATCGCGACTCAACGGACGAATGTCCAGCAGCAAGCCCCGCGGCGTTCCTCAATCCGTGGAAGCAAAAGGAGCGGGACGGACAACAGTTTTCGTGTCAAATACGCCAGAGTTTGTGCGTTTCACGGAGCGTTGTGATATTTTACTCAAGAACTTTTAAAAACAAGTTTGGACCGAATTCAGTCTGGAGTTGGACGTTATTTAGATCACATCCCGCCTGGTGCGCGAGAGCTTTTGAGGAGCTAACGTTATCTACTGAAGACTGAAAACCATGGATTTATTCCTTAATTTAACGGTAGAACTTTGATAAACCGCCCGAAATTGCGTGTAGCTGCTGCTTTGCAGTCTTTCCCAGCATTTCTTGTTAAGGAAAATATCTATTGTTGTCCTGGGAGACACATTTTTTGCTGTGACAGGACGCGTTTGCAGAGCCAAATATGTCAGTCCATGATGAAGAAGAGGAAACTCGACTGATTCTCTGAGGGGAAAACACATCTTAATCGTATATTAGTTCTTTACTTACTCTGTACGTCATTTATTTGAGTGTACCTATAATTTAGCTCAATAAGTGAAATAATTTCGTAATATAACAATATAGTGCAACATGCCGAGCTGTTAGTAGCACTCAATCTCAAACCAGCTGGATTTAATTCGTTAAAAAAGTTGTTAATCGTGTATCCTGGGAAAAAAACATCCCACATAATTGACCTTAGGCAGTTTAGTGCCCTTTGGACTGCAGATTGGAACTGGGATAATTTCACGTCAGCTTTATCTTGGCACTTTTTTTTTATTTGCGTGCGCCAGGCTGCCAGATTTCTCCTCTATTTTTGCCATTATTCTGCTTCATTTCTGTCAATATGGAGGAGTGGAGGCAGTGCGGTCGCTGGTTGATAGACTGTAAGGTTTTGCCCCCGAACCACCGGGTTGTTTGGCCCTCAGCGGTCGTGTTCGACCTGGCCCAGGCGCTCAGAGATGGGGTGCTCCTGTGCCAGATGCTGCACAATCTGTCTCCTGGATCCGTGGACCTGAAGCAGATCAACTTCAGGCCTCAGATGTCACAGGTAAGTTAATGCTTATGTCTGTGTTTTTAATGGCTGTATTTTTAATGCTTGTCACCTTTGCAGGGAGGATTGATGATAGTATTGACAGCAGGAGAATGGAGAATGTGCAGTATTGTTCTCATAGGTTGCTACTCTTATTCTTACCAACAGGGGTCGTTGTCGAGCATTTTGGCGTGTCTGAGCAATCACTAATAGAACTGTAATCGATTAATCGAAAATGTGTTTATTAAGCTAAACCTTTTGTTATGTTTTATAGTGTCATTATCATAGTTTAATAATAATAATAATAATTCTGTATAACCATAGGGTCTCACAAACCGCAAACAGTTGGATGCACTGCACACAGGTGTCTTTTAAACGTTCCTTAGATAATGTCATGACTCATGTAGGTATTTATAGTTGAACATCCTACTGAAGTGCTGTGCATACTGTGTATGTATAAGCCTGATCGTTTGAACGCAAGTATCTAAGGCTGTGCAGGGTTTAAAGGTTAATGTTAAGGGAGGGCCAAGGCTCTTATCTCTGTAAACATAAACCAGGAAAAGCAGCAAGTTCTTCGTGGGTTTCAGGAATGTGGCTTTCAGTCAGTGCTCTTTGTGAAGGAATGTGTGGCAACAGCAGTTCCTACCAGTAAATGTGACTATGCAGAGAAGCATGATGTAGCCTAAGTGTTGACTGTTTTGAGAGGTTTTGAACATGTGTCTCCCTCCCCTTTAGCAGCATGTCTTTGGGTTTATGTCCAGAAAATAAACCCTATATGTCATAGTTTACATGTGGTGTGATTGAGATTTACATTGGTGCCTACTGTTGTAAATATTCAGCTAAAAAAATATTTTTGCTTTTAAATCTGGGGTTCTGGACTGAATTTAGCACCATGGTCTTGCAACTTACTGCAGTGTTTTACAGATGTATGGGTAGCTGACAAATACTTTTGGGAAGTTAACACAATGCTACAGCCACTGTCATTTCTTGAACAAGAACATGTGGACATCAAAACATGCAAACTCAGAGCAAGGGTAAACTTTTATTTGAACAACACTTGGCATATGAAATTTAGAAACATATTGATGTATTCTTCTGTGTTGGTCTAGGTTTATAAATTATTTATGTTGCAAATCTGGTAAAATGGTGACCATTGTGTTTAGGTGAATGTTATAAGCAACCCAAACTCACTAGTAGGGACAGATGACTTCATTTATACAACAGCCAATCCTTTTCTAAATCTGATACAACAATAAACACCTGGGGAGAATTGTATTACAAAGTACTTAGAGTGTTATGATGACTTGTTATACAAATCTACAGCACTGGTGTTAGTTGTACATTTCAGTAGTTAATATCTGCAATATTGGATTTTTATTTGAGATATGCATATAAACACAAAGGGCGTCAGACTTTTTAGGCTATTTGTTTTCAAATGCACATTATTTCCATGAAGCCCACACATATATTAATTTAAAGGGCACCTATTATGCAAAATTCACTTTTACATGGTGTTTGAACATAAATGTGTGTTGGTAGTGTGTGTACACAACCACCCTATAATGATAAAAATCCACCCGGTGCTTTTTTAAAAATCCCCATAAATCATAAGCACTGTCTCAGAACAAGCCGTTCTCAGATTCGGGGCAGTGTGACGTACTTTTGCACAAGCCCCTCCCACGACTGTTGATAGACACTGCAGTTTTAGCTTAGACCTGCCCTGAGTGAGCTAAACACAGTCCGCCATTGTTTCAACGCCGGAGCAGCTGTAGACAAGAATTGTCTACTAAGCGATTGAGGTGTTTTGTTGTTGGATGTAAAAATGAACATTGCAGTCTTCATTTACTCTCGTTGTTACTCGAGGATGGGTCTGATGGATCAGCTTACAGTCTCAGGAGCGATAGGCCTAATGTTACTGATCACGGCAGAAATGAAAGTGAGAGCGCGCACTTTATGACAGCTCATTGAGTCGTTTTACAGATATAATGTTTACCAGCTTATTAAGCACATACTGAAGAGGTGTGTATTGTTTACTGTTAATGTGTGTTTTGTGTACTTCGCTGTGTATGTTGATGATAATGAAAGGGAGAGAGAGAGAGTTTATGGATAAGACTTTAATGCGCACATCTTTCATACTGTATTTATTCAGCTCTTACAGTGATTCTCTGGAGTAAAACTAACGCTTCATCTTTTGTGTGATGTAACTTACAATAAACTTCATTGAACTCGTCATCATCAGTATATTTTTGGCCATCATTCGGACACGGTCCGCTACAACAGGCTTGTACTAATAGTGGATAAAAGCAATATGAAAAATAAGTTATAACCAAAATTAAACTAGACTATACCTGTTCTATTTCCATGCAGTATATGAAGAGTTTGGTTCCAAAACGTAATAAATCCATTTAGATTAATTTGAGTAAATATGTGTTTTCTTTACCAAGAAAGTGGAAAGATGAAAACCACTATTTTCTGTTTCAAACTTTCACATAGCATTTGTAGGTCATAATAAAAAAAAATCCAGGTTTTGATTTTCAAAGATTTATTATAAAAACGGATTATTTCCCCCCCCCCAAAATGCAATAAATCCATTTTTTTTTAAAATTCAGAATGCAATTAATCCATTGAATCAATATAAAAGTTTTTTTTTTCATATTGAAACTGTTGAAAATACACAACAACGTAAGTTTATTAGTATTATATTTTTATTAAGAACTGTAAAGAAGATTGAAAACATTTTTCCTCCTCCCGAGTGCCTCATCTTCTTAATCTCTTCACATAAATTATTCGATTTCGATGCCTTACGTTTTTTACCCACCGCAGAAACAACCACAGGTTCATCAATGCCGTCAAAATTATTCATTTTTTTGTTTGTTTGTTGATCGAAAAGTACAAAATAGATAAGAAAAACTAGGAAGCCGGGTGTATTTAAGGCGCTGCCGTTACTGTTTACATTGCGTGGAATGGTGCGTTGTGATTGGTTGAGAGCGGATATATCGGATTCTGCAGAGAAGGGAGACTGGCGTTTGTCGCGGTTTGGAAAGAAAGGGAGAAAACATGACAGAATAACACGGCGGATATTGCATTTTACTTAAAATTAAACATACTTTTCAATACCAACCAGATATAATACTGATTTTTGCAGTAACTAATTTTTTTTTTTTTTTTTTAAGGCGTTTATCGCGTTTTGGAACCAAAGTCTTCATTCTCTGACTCTGTAGGCATTATTGTCCGACTCCGTGTCAACAACGCTACTGAGAATTTCTGTTTTGAAATTATCTTTCCTGTAGTTCAAACAGTAGAGCGTTGGCGCTTGCAACGCCAAGGTCATGGGTTCAATTCCCAGGGAAAGAAAGAATTGATAAGAATGTAAATGTGTACCACTGTACCTTGAAATGCAATGTAAGTCGTTTTGGATAAAAGCGTCTGCCAAATGAAATGTGTAAATGTAAAATCAGATGAGATTGTCCTGGCTCTGAGCGCAAGCTTGTGAGGCTCCGCCCCCTGTGCTGGCAGCAGCAGCTGCCAGCTCATTTGCATTTAAAGGGATAGGCTACACACTAAAACGGTGCGTTTTTCTGAGCCCCAAAAAGTGACAATTTAAACATGCTGTAAAAAATTATCTGTTGGGTATTTTGCAGACATGGGGACTTGTGACTTGGTGACTTGGACTCGAGTCGACTCGAGTCGCTATTTTTATGACTTGTGACTTGACTTGACATAAAATGAAATACTTGAGACTTGACTCGGACTTGGAAGTTAAAGACTCGGGACTTGACTTGACTTGAGACACGATGACTTGAATGACTTGAGTGTTAATCACATCATGTTTTCAGTTTGAATATAAAATATATATAAAAAAATGTTTTAAAGTTGATCACGACACTATCATCAGTCATACCTCGTACCTATACGCACACCACGCCCACTTAGATCAGATATCACATCAAAATGTCAGCCGGAGGGGTACCGAGGGTCATTGCTTTCGGCTTCAAGAATTATTCACACGATGGCAAAAGACGAACAGCGCTTTGCAAGACATAGGCTACAACATTAACATTGCGGACAGCCAGACGACAACCTCCAATTTCGTCCGTCATTTGAAGAGCCATTCTGCCCAGTAAGTGCTTGTCAATTTGTTAATGTTAGTTGGTAGTTAGCTAATGTAATAGCTAAAGTAGCCATTAACCCTTTCACAAGTAAGTTTAAACTATTCTAACTGATCCCCCAGCGTGAGTTTTTCTAGGCGACCGTTATTTAGAACCTGTCACTCACTTTAATGTTTCATGGTGACGCGTCATTGCTTGTCAAGTGACACAGCGCAACCACAACACAGCGCTGAATGAATGATCTGCTTTTATGTCATTTTTCCTGTTTTATTCAAAATGTTCACAAATGTATTAGCTATAACATGCAACACTGATATTCCGATTGTCAAATATGTGTAAGTGGATGTGTTTTGTTGTTTAAACACCTTTATAATGATCGCGTTAGTTGAGCTGTATGTGCGAATGGGCGGTGCCATGTTAACGTTAGTTTACAACACGTCAATTTCTCAACTTCTCACGAAATACATGAAAGTAAGTGACCGGTGAACTGGGAGAAGAATAGGGTAAAATGTAAAGCTACTTACACAATGTGTATCTGATATGAATAAAACGTGCGTCTTATTATAATGGAAATGATTATTATTGACGCTTCCATAGACATCAGTGTATATTTTACAAACTACAAATATATTTTTTGCTAGTAGTTATGTGTATTTAAATGTCTGAAACCTAAAATAAAAATGATGTGGTTGAAAACACTGAACAGTTGTGATATATGACAGCACTGAGAGCGTATGTCTCTGGCTCAGCGCCAGCCAACGCGTTTGAATTCATTGATAAATAACTTACACGAAGCAGAATAGTGGGTCATATGTCTAATGCTTTTTGAAAACTTAAAAGGGGCATATAATGCCATTTTTGTACAAGCTAATATGATTCTTTGGGGTCTAAATTAAAAGTTTGTAATAT